CCGGGAGCAGCGCTCGCTGCGGCTGAGCATAAACGCGCGCGAGCGGCGGCGGATGCACGACCTGAACGACGCGCTGGACGGGCTGCGCGCCGTCATCCCCTACGCGCACAGCCCGTCGGTGCGCAAGCTCTCCAAGATCGCCACGCTGCTGCTCGCCAAGAACTACATCCTCATGCAGGCGCAGGCCCTGGACGAGATGCGGCGCCTCGTGGCTTACCTCAACCAGGGCCAGGGCCTGGCGGCGCCTGTGACCGCGGCGCCCCTGGCGCCCTTCGGCCAGGCCGCTGTATACTCTTTCTCCGCGGGCGCCCCGCTGCCCTGCCCAGACAAGTGCACCGCCTTCTCCGGGACGCCCTCGGCGCTTTGCAAACACTGTAACGAGAAGCCATGAGGGCCCCGGCCGCCCCTCCTCCCGCACGCGTCCTGCATTTTCCCTTGCTCCCACGACCGTGTCCCCCTGCCCCGACTGAACCCCGCCCACCGGAGAAGGCGGCCGGACGTCGCTTCCAGCCCGTGCGCGCTCAACCGCGCGCGTAGGGCCGCGAGAAGCTCCGAGCACGTCTGGGCACAGGATTGAGCCGCAGAGCGGGGGCACTGGCATCTGCGCCCCGAGCCCGCAGCGCGCCCGCTGGGCAACCTTCCGACGGGTGACAAACCCTGCTTGTCCGGGCACCGCCGCTCACCCTGAAAAAGAAAACCAGGACTACAGCCGGAGCGGGGACCTGCGTGACCCCGGGGGAGTGGTCCTGCTTGGCGCCAGCCGGGTTCTCCTGGAGCGCAGGGAGAGCGCTTAGCTTGGCTTGGCAGCTCAGGGCCCTCGCCTTGGGCTCTGGCCAAACTGCAGGGCCCGCTCCTGCTGGGTGTGTTCCTGACATCGCATGGCGCTGGCGCCCGGTTACCTCCCGTCTCTGAGGCTCAGCGACCATCGCCCCTGCAGCCCGGCGGCCTGATGGGCCCCGACCCAGCCTGCAACTGTCCTTTGCAAAGGAGCTGGACTGCCCATGAAACCGGAAGACCCTGGGCAGTAGTTTTTCTGGTCTCTCCAGTCAGAGTGTGTTATGTTAATTTTCTTGCCTGCCTAGAGGCGCGAACCTCTAAGAGGTGAGCGGAGCCAACGCTGCCTCCAAGTCTGCGGAATTTGTTCCCTATACAGTCCCTGGACTCCCCGGCCCCCACCGTTCACGCCAGAACCTCCCTGCCAGGATGTGGCCCGCATGGAGTTGGATGGAGACCCGCCGCGCACCCTCTGCTTACAGGCAATTGTACCGAGTAGGGCCCCCACTTGGCCTGGGTTTTCAGGGAGGGGCCCGTCTAGCCCCGCTGACCTCCACACCAACCCCCCAACCCGTTTCCAGGGGAGGAGGCTGGGCCATGGGTGAGTAGGCTGGTGGGAGGGGCTGCTTCCTGACCTGTGGAAAGGTGACGGGTTTGTCTCTTGGTGTTGGGGTCTGTCTCTTTGATGTGGGTGCACGGCGCAGAATTCTGCCACCATAGGGGTCCACACGCTCTCTGCTCAGCCGGCCAGCCACCCTGGGGACCAGGCTGTCCGTGCCCATTTGCACCCCAGCCGCTCTGCTGCGATATCCAGCTTTATTAACCCAATTTCCTCGGCTGTCGTTAACGCTATGCTAATGAGGAGAGGACCTCCGCCCTACAAAGCGGCCTGTCTAAAGCATTTAACTTTAATTAATACATTTCAAAAGGCCCTTTTGTATTTGCAAAATGAAGTGTGTGATTAAGTCTTATTCATAAAGACATATGCTTAATACTGGTTTTTGCTAATTTCCATATTTATTTCTTCACTGTCTTTTTCTCCCTAACATACTACTTTATCAGTTTTGCACATGCAGAAAGCTGAGTGCTAGGAGCTGTGTTTCGAATCCCTTTTAGGTAACGGAAGGCAGGTCAGCTGGTCAGCTGCAAACTCCAAAGTCATTTGCTTCCAGGGTCATTTCAAAGTGATCCTGAATCAACTTCATAAATTACTGGTCATAATCTGAAACAGAGGTGCTCATTCTGGTTAAAACCAGACACGTCTAGTACATCGTTTCTATTGAGAATGAAGTTATGGTTTCAACTTATTTTTTTTTAAATAATATGATTAAATTTTAATATCAAATTAAATATGTTCATTTGCGACTGAACTCAGTTTCAATTTTCAGAGAATTGTGTCAACTTGGACCACATGCTTCTAAATCACTGAGTCTAGAAAATCTCTGAGGTGCAGACAGCCGATGTGTAAGCAACCACTCAGCAAATGTAGGAAATACTAAGAAAAAGGTGAAGGAAAAAATCTCTCTGTCCCTTCTTGGATGAAAAACAACATGCTTTTTAAAGGGACCATTTAACTAATCATACATTCTTCCAATTACTTGGTTTCAAAAAAATTAAATTGTGTTTTTCTTTTTAGCTGCTCAGCCATGTATCTACGTGATCTAGTCTTCTCCAAAACTTCAGCCTGCCTCTCGCGGGGGTGGAGTGGAGTCATTTCTTAATGGAAATTAGGCTGCCTTTTCAACAAGGCTAACGTAGCAATCTGCTCTATCAAATACAAGTCATTTGGCCTCCTCATTCTAAGAACTCCCAGCACAAAAGGTCTGATCCTCCATGGCCCCTGTGCCCAAAATACAGGGAAGCAGGCTCCTCGTTAGCAAACCCACCACTCTCGGGAAACATCGATGGGGGCTCTGGGCATGGACTCCCTGAACTCCTCCTGCATCTAACCCCCAGAGCTGACACTTCTCCAGCACTGGGGTGGGGTGGGGGGTTTAAATAGGAAAGAGTTTTGCTAATAACTGGCGTTTGAAACAGCCTTTTTCCCAGATGCTCGTTTTTAGAACCGTCTTAGGGCAAGGAAAGATGCACCTGCTCGTACATCTGGATGTGGTCCTAGGGAGTGTCCCTTTAAACCCGGCTGGCCACACAAAGAGACCGGGCCACACGTGAAATGGTAGCTTTTCTACTGGCTACGTAAAAAGAGTAAATAGATGAAATTAATTGTAATCATTTTTATTTATCCCAATGTAGGTAAAAGAGTATCATTTCACAGTAATCAGCATTTTTTAATTATTGGGGGGCTATTTCACATTCCTTTTTTGTACTAAGTCTTCAAAACCCAGTGTGTCTTGCACTTAGAGGCCCTCTCCATTCAGACCAGCCCCGCTTCGAGAATCAGCGGCCACACATGGCTCGTGGCCACCACAGTGGACCCTGCGGCTCGAGGCAGAGCTTGCCAGGTGTCTTATTTCCTTCACCTTCATAAGAAGCCGGAAATGCCCGCTGATTCGAGGAATAAATTCTATAGCTACACACATAGGAAATGCCCAGTCCTTGTTACTCTTTCAAGCCTGGTTCACCAAGGCTAGCTGAGGCCAGGGCAGGGGGCAAGAAACGCCGTGGTCTGTTTTCTACCACGAAATGGTGGCATTTCGTCTACAGATTGGCCAGTTCCAGCTGCCGCCCAGAATCGCACTAGCCACCCACACCCAAGCCCGGGAGCCAGCAGCTCGGTGACACCCCAGCCGAGGGGGTGTCTTGAAGCCAACACTGCCTTCGTCCTCTGTTAACCACACCGTTGGGGGGATCTCTGCCACGCTGGCCGCTGCTGGAGCCACTCGCAGACCGAGGCTCATTCATACTCAGGTTATGAGCCCGTGGAGCCCGGCTCGTGGGGCCCGGCTCGTGAGGGTTCGGGGCAGGCTTCCCTGAGCCCACTGGCTCCCCAGCGGTCCCTTGCTGGGGTCAAGAGAGGCGGGTTGCTGGCCTGAGGTCCTGTACCCATCTACATGCACTGACTGGCGCATCCGTTGCCCGTGTGGCTGCGATCACCCCCAGCTTGCCAAGTGGATATAGAAGGCACACAGGTTGCAAAACAAAAGTGGGGGGTCCCTGTGGTTAAGCTACTGATTGAGGATTCCACGACAGACACCGCCTCTGCTTCCTTCCTTTCTTTAAAATGACCAGCAGCAGACATAGCTCTCCCTCTCCTTTGGGTATTTTGATGGGAACGTTTTTACCTACTTGGTGAGACACCACGGCCCCAGCACTTTCTGTTCTGCTCTTTGTTTTCCTCCAGGTAGGAAATTCGCTTACCTAAAACAGCATCCTGGTTTTCAGTAATAGGTAGCGGCATCCACACTCGGAGAGCAGAACTCCATCCTAACCTAGCTCTGCCCCCAGGGACCTGGAGTGTGGACACGCCAGGGCCGCCGGCCCACACGAGCGCATTCACAGACCCTCATGTGCCAGGCACATCGGCTTCGGACTGTCTCATTTGGTCAATTTCATCCCAAACATGGATTTTTCTCTTCACTCTTGCAGATGTCAGTTGAATCCCTGGGGAATTTGTTTTACCTTATAAGTAAGCTAACGAGCATCCCGGCCCAGACACCTGCTTTGCCAACTACGCATGTCTATTTCCCTTGCAGGTTGGGACATTAAAGGAAGAGGCAGCTCCTCACAAAGGACAAATATTGTTTTCCTAAAAGGATGGGTGAGACGTGCAAACTGTCATTCCTAGCAGCACGGCCTGCCTTCCTCGCCCTCGGCCGTCTGAGAGACGTCTGATTAGAACAACCAGGCTGAGGCCCCGGAGCCCGGTTAATCCAACAGACAGTGATTACAACAATTTTATCATGTGAATTTGCCTGTGATATGTCCTGAGTCTTTAATCGCTCTTGGCATCCCATTTTAAGGGATGGAGGTAGAGGGATTTACAATGTATTAAATCATTTCTCCAACAATTAATTATCTCTTTGGATCATAACCCTGGATGTTATGTTCCATACCCCAACAAAAGTCAGTTCCATGACATTAGAAAATTAATACCCATTTGCAAATTTAACTCCAAAGGAGCAAAACCCACGTTACCATAAATGCAAAAAGGCTCCAGTAGGTAGTAAAATCTCCTTCGAGGCCGGTGTTTTTCCTGTGTTACGAAATGAGCTATGCAGGGTTTTCCTAGTCTGAAGTGCCCGAGGCATATGTATTGATACAAATATAGAAAAGCTGTTTTAAGTGAGGCTCTCTGCGTAGGAAGACAGCCAGGTCATTTTGAAAGTGAGTTTGGAGGGGGAGCTTGTCAAATGCAGCGTGGAAGGGGGTCTCTGAATAAACCTCCGTTTCTGTCCTTCTGCGGCTGGCTCTGTGGGGTCTCTGGGCTGTTGCTCGGTCAGGATGCAGAGGGACGTGCTGCCTCGGTCCGCATTCCCAGAAGACATGGCCATCAGAACACAGAGCAGAGCCGTACACGGGCCTGGCCGGTGGCGTCTATCCCCCGTGATGCTCAGGCCCCGTGGGGGTGCCCACCTGACGGGGGTCCGAGGGGCCACCTGGGACAGGATCCTAGCTCGAGGGTTTCTTAGGAGAGGCTCGCCTGCATGCCAGACAGGGAGAGCCTTCCCAACCGGCCTGGTTTCGCCTCCAAGCCTGTTTTGTCTGAAGTGATGAGGCCACCGTCAGCTTGCTCTCCTGGGGGCCCTGATTCGGCCTGACAGGAGCCCAACCTCCCCACTCCGTGTGGACAGTGCCTGCTGTACTAATGAGGCCACGGCCAGCGTGGGAATTGGCCACAAACCCCGGACACAAATGGGACCTGCAACGCTCTCCGATGGCCACAAGGCATCTGACAGGACGCATCTCACTCCGCAGCCCGGCTTGCCTGGCTCTGGGCCTGGAGCCGTATATCCGAGGCCCTCCCAGAGCTTCCTGGCTTTTTGGCCACAGAGGCACCGAGGTTACAAAATCCCTGCGAACAGTCTCTAAGTCTCACGCACAGGCAAACCCCCGAGGCGGAGTCCAGGATCCGTCCCAGCCTGCCGCCGCCCAGGTTGTTCCAGTGCCAGCCGGACGGGGGCCCGTGGGACCCGGCCCGCCAGCTCATCGCGGTGCCAGCGGGAGCCAGGTTGCCCTGCCGAGGCCCCCGGAGGGCTCTGTCCACTGAATGCAACCGGGAGGGAGCAGCTCATCACTCGGGAGTGGACACACCCACGATTTTTGGTAACTGAGATTCAGAAACCCCACATCTGTGAGTCAGTGGATGCCAACGGGCCCCTGGCAGCCAGACAGCTGATGGAAGAAAGCGTCTGAACAGGATGATTCAGGTATAAAGATCCCTCTCCTTCTGAGCGTAGCGCTAACCAACCCCATTAGGCCAGACCAGCCCGACTGCCACCGGCCTTCCGTGGGCTCAGATGATGGAGAAACCTGTGTGGGCAGCACCTGCGTTTCAAACCTCACAGACAACTGGGAAGATGATCATTTCCTATTCAGGAATCTGGGATTCTAGAATGAACCCAAAGCCTTCTTGCTATAAAACACTGCTCTCTGTGTGCCCTTGAGTCTCCTCCGGGCTGTGGGGTCAGCAATGACATTCAGAATGAGAAGCGTCCTCCAGACTTCCTGACCTTCCTCCCTCCTTCTCCACCTTAGTGACATGGGGTACCGGACGGGGTGAGAGCTTTGCCCCCCAACGCCCAAGGGCTGCTTCCGGAAATGCCTGTGTTCAGGGAACAGAGAATGCCCCCAGGCCCCTTCCCGGCACACATCCTCCCTCACTCTGTCTGTCTGCCTCTCTGGCTCGTTCTCTCCTGAAGCTGCTTTTGGAAAAACAAGAAGAGCCTACAACTCTTTCCCTCCCTCCGGGCAGCCCTGTTCCCCTAACAAGCACACATGTTCCTTAAAATACCCCAAATGTATTTTGGTGTCTCAAGACCCTGGTCACTCCCC